TCACCCCTAACCCCTCTGCCTGACTGCCTCCTTCACACTCCACACTGAGGATCGACCCCGCAACTCAGGCACATGCCTTGACCAGGAATCGAACTGTGACCTCCTGATTCATAGTTTGATATCAACCACTGAGCCACACTGGCCAGCCCAGATTTCTGATGTATACTTAATTCAAATAAATGCAAACATAGAATAAAGTATAAAGAAAATGAGATCAATTTTACAGAAAGTAAAATATTAAAACAGTTGCTCCCAGTTCCTTTGATGAGAAATGCTAAACACTGGAAATTAATTATGACTTATACAGTCAGTCATTCACTAACTTGATATCCTCTGTCATATAGTCCTAATATTTAAAGCACATACTGCAAGACCAGCTTCCAAAGGAATTGTGGTCACAGTCTTATGATCAGTGACAAAGCATGGGCATCAAACTATGCTAATGAAGAGTAGAAAGTGTTTAGATGGATTCTGAAATCTTGTTTCAGTATCAGAGTGTTTTTTTGTTTTTTTATTTCTAGGGACTGTTTAAAATGATATGAAAAAGAGGAAAATTTTACATGAAAGTTCAAAAAAATAAAAGGGCCCAGCCAGTGTGGCTCACTGGTTGAGCATCGACCTATGAACTAGAAGGTCACAGTTCGATTCCTCGTCAGAGCTCGATCCCCAGTGTGGGGCATGTAGGAGGCAGCCGATCAATGATTATTTCTCCTCATTGGTGTTTTGATCTCTCTCTCCTTCTCCCTTTCTCTCTGAAATCAATAAAAATATATTTAAAAATAAAAAGTATGCAAATAATAAGAATTTAATAAAGTTTGGTATCACCTTTGGTGACATTCATAAATTTTAATAAAACTAAAGACATATTTCTGGAATTTTTATAATGTGTCCTAATCTCTTACTGTGTATTTCAAATTTTTGATATAGATTTGTTTTTCTGCAGCTGTGTTTTAAATTGAGGAAAGTAGGGATATATAATGGAAATATTAACAGCCCTTTCAATATAGAGATGTTGGCCTAGGTGACATTACAATTACATTGGATTGCATATGCAATGGACAGAATGTCCGTCTCCCCAAAATTTGTATGTTGAAACCCTGATACTTAATGTGATGGTATCTGGTGATGAGGCTTTTGAGTGGTAATTCTCATGATGCTGGAGCCCTCATGACAGAATTAGTGTCTTTAAAAGAAGAGGCAACAAAGCGATTTGTTCCTCCCCTTTTCTCTTTGCCATCTGAAGACATGGTGAGAAGAGCTTTCACCAGGAATGGCATTAGCAGGCACCTTGATCTTGGACTTCCCAGCTTCTAAAACTATGGTGGCTCAGGAGGATGTTAACAAAATATCATAACAAACACCATAAACTAGATGGCTTAAACAAGAGAAATTCCCACAGTGAAATAAGAAAGAAATAAAATTTCATAGTTATGACATTTCCTTCTAAATATTAAATGGTAAACTTCTGAACATTCATATTTTGGAAGAAGAGTTTATCTCTAAATAGTAAATATAAAATATCCGGTGACTTCAATTAAAATATTTTGGTAAAACAATGCCTAGTACTAATTTAAATATGTTTTTATGCCAAACTGCTAGTATAAAAAAAATCTGTAAATGTAAACAGAATTAAAAAAAAGTGTTTTTGTTTGAATGGTTCTTTTATCCTCCAGGTAGTAGTATATGACAAAGATTCAATACATAGGTTTGCCTACTGCCTGCGGGATTCTAATACATTGAACTTTAAAACTATGACTCATGAATAAGCACACTGAAACAAATTTCTTTTGAAATATACATCAACAGAGGTGTGAAATTTCTGCCCTTACAGTTGGGTGTCATGTAACTACTATCATGTTAACTGTTCTTGAAAGAGTGAAACTGTTAAACATATTGACACCCATTTGTCAATTAATTAGATTTTTATCATAGTATTTCCTGTGAATTATTATTTTAAAACTAATAATGTTACCATTATACAATAGCGCCCTAGCAAAAACAAATAAAACTTGGTAACTATGATACAAGCCTCTCACTATTCACTAAATAATTATTTTAAAAATATTTTTTTTTATTTTTTTAAAATATATTTTCATTGATTCCAGAGAGGAAGGGAGAGGGAGAGTTAAGGACTTGTATGCATGCATATAAGCATAACCAATGGACATAAGACACTGGGGGATAGGGGAAGCTGGGGGAATGTCAAGAAGGGGATAAAAAGGAGACATATATAATACTCTTTGTAATACTTTAAGCAATAAAACAAAATTTTTTTTTTAAAAAAAGAAAAATTTTGAAAGATAAAAAAAAAAAAGCCCGCAGCTAAGGCATGTGTCCTGACCAGAAATGGAACCGTGACCTCCTGGTTCATAGGTCGATGCTCAACCACTAAGCTATGCCGGCTGGGCTAAAATATTTTTTTCTTTACTTCCCCATCATCCTCTGATGAAAATCTACTTCTATAGATTTTAACATAAATTTTATCAAAGGGAATGCAAAATAAATATATTGTTTTCAACTGATTTTATTAAAAACTAGAGGCCCAGTGCACAAAATTTGTGCACAGGTGGGGTCCCTAGTCCTGGCCAGCAATTAGGGCCGATTGGGGCCTTCAGGCTGCCAGCTGGGGCCTTCATTCCCCAGGTACTGGCTGCTGGTGGTCAGCACACATTATAGTGAGTGATCAAGCTCCTGGTCGAACTCCTGAGAGGACACTGCATATTAGCCATATATATATATATAATAAAATTCAATTTTCTTGAGCATGTGTGTAATTGCAGGACTTAAGCATGTGATCAAATGCCAACTTTTAAAAAGTAGCACCCAGTTTTATTTTATAAGTGTTCTGTCTTTTTTTATAAAGTTTGCATTAAAATAGAAAAATCAGCAATAAACAAAAATATAGTTATACTGCTTTAATACACTAATAATATTTGGATTATTTAAGGAGAGGACAATTATGTTTTCCCTTTCCATCATCATCAGCACCAGTGGTTATCTAAGTCATGAGTGGCAACCCCAAGTACCTCTTTGCATTAAGTTCTCAAAGCTATCAAAAGTCCCAAATATTCAACCAAAATGTAACTGATTCAGTTTAAGTTAATAATCATTAAGAAAACTGAATGTACTTTTGAAGAACCATAAACATGCCTCTACTGAGTGTATTTTGTCATCATTTCAAAACAGGTATGAAAATTCCATTAAACCATGCTTTGTTTTTCAATAGTTTCCAAGTTTTATGTGGGATCACATATACTTAGTAGACAGCTGGTTTCAAAATCATAGGGAACTTATTCTGTCTTTTAAATAATGTTTGTGGGGGCTTTTTTTTCTCAAAGGCAACTCTGATTCCTGGTTTACGCACTGATCAAATATTCAAACAGCAAAGCTCTGATTAGTTAAGATAGACTGAGGGTAGGAATCACACTAATACTTAGCCATAGAAATATAGAGAGTGTGATACAAATTTATCAATAATTTTTCTTTCCTATGAAGTTTATGTTATAAAATTTCTTCATTGTTTTAGAAGCTCCCAACACTGGAAGCTAATTTAAAATTGAACAAAAATCTCCAGAATCTCAAATTTCTTCTGCCTTCACTTCTCTCAACCCCATGTGCATCTATTAAAACATATCAATAATGCAAGGCCCAGTGCAAATCCATAAACTGTAATGCCTTTTGTGACTCCCTGCCCCTTCTCTTCTCCATATTAGGTATGCTCTTTCCCTCCTCCAAATTCCTATATACTTGTCTTTTTAGTGCAATTTACATGAGTATTTGTTGTTTGTCTCACATTTAGTTGTGATTCCTGGAAGTCGGGTACTATGTCTTATTTATCTATTTCCCATATTGCCCAATATGACATTTACAAATTTACAAGTTGAATACATAATGTAATAAAGAATCAATGGGTTTCTCTGATTAACTATAACTTTGCTCTTATATATCCTTATATTATCTCCTCACATAAAGAAAAAATGTATTAAAAAGGCTAGTTTACATGATACTTGGAGAGAGGGCATGTGCCAAATTAATAGGAGACAGAAAGAAGGATTATGAGATGTGATTTGTTTCATTACCTGGTGGTTATGAAATTTTGAAAAACAGTATTATCATTGTGATGATGTGCTCTAAATTATCACAAATATTTGCTTAATGTTTCACAGTTTTTAACATGTATATATATTTTTAAATATTTTTATTGATTTCAGAGATTAGGGAGAGAGACAGAAACATCAATGATGAGAGAGAAACATTGATTGGCACCTCTTGCATGCCCCACACTGGGGATTGAGCCCACAACCCAGGCATGTGTCCTAACTGGGAACTGAACCGTGACCTCCTGGTTCATAGGTCTCCCCACAACCACTGAGCCAGGCTGGATGGGCTTTAGCTTATATTTTACTCATATTATCTCCAGACATCCAATCACATAGGAAGAATAAATTAGTACTATGACCTTTTTTTTTTTTGCAGTTGAGGAAAATTTTCAGGCAGATTAAATGTCTATACAAGGTCATTCAGCTCTTAAGTGACAGAATCAGAATTGAAACTCCAGTTTGTCTGACTACAAGGCCTGTATGGTATGTACTACCACACAACTGCCTTTAAAATACAAAAAAATATATATTGTGTGTACTTTATTTCACCCCATCAATGTGAATTGTTTTTGCATACTTTTCTCTCTGGTATTAGTCTGGCCAGGCCTCCCAAACACTGTGCTCATTATTGAAAGAAATGAATCCTGAATTAAAGGTGAGATTTGTGATCATGGAATGAAAACAATAAAACAACAAACAGCAACAATAAAACAACAAACAAACAAAAAACCAAACACCTCAGCAATCCTAATCATAAATCAAACCCATCAATACTGTATGCTAAGCAACTGAGTCAATGAGTTTTATGTTTTTTACTGAAGATTCAGTAGTATTGCTAGTATTTTATCAAAATGTATATGTAATTAATGCCTTTGTCCTCTTCTAAATCATGATTCTTACCTTTATAACAGAGGCCCCAGCTCTAGAGAGTGGGCTGTGAATCTGAGCTGCAGCAGCCATGTTGGCAATAGTATTTAGATGGTTCATCTGATTCATTGCCATGGCAACTGATGCAGGAGGTAAGCTGACTGGAAGTAGAGGATGAGGCATCATCATAAATGGCAGATCTAGCCCTAAAAGAGACAGTGCATGCTAAATTATTACATTTGTAAAATTATTTTGACAAGGGGAAATCACATCAAAATCACATGCAAAATTGATGCAAAGAAAAAAATAAATTTATCTCATTGGATTTCTTAAAAATCAACTTTTACTATATTCTAGTATCTCTTTGAGTAATTAATATTACTTATGAACTTTAATATTGTTTATAATTTTAAAATCGACCTATTTCACATACTACTATTTATTTTTTAAAATATATTTTTATTGATTTCAGAGAGGAAAGCAAAGTGAGAGAGAGATAGAAACACCAATAATGAAAGAGAATAATTGATTGGCTGCCACCTGCAGCCCCCTACTGCGGATTGAGCCCACAACCTGGGCATGTGCCCTTGACTGGAATCGAACCTGGGACCCTTCAGTCTGCAGGCCAAAGTTCTATCTACTGAGCCAAACAGGCTAGGGCTATACATTTCTTGTTCTTACTCTCACTCCCAAAGTATTTATAAGATGCAATCTGTTTACCCATAGACACAAACAAAAATCTTTAAGCCAAGCCTCATTCCTTATCTAGCTAAAAGAAACAACTACCTTTTAAATCATTATAATATATTGATGTGTTCATAGTTTCTAGCTTAATACTTTCTTCACAAAACATAATAGTGGTACTGGTAAGACAGTATGTAGATTCTCTAGACTCAGAATTATTGAAGAAATTAAGACTTGGAATACGTTCTACCCTGTAGTTATAAATCATTAACATGAATGCCTATAGCTCAGATTTGAAGCCTTTGTCAATAAGAAATAACTTCCCTATCAAATGTCAACCTGTTTTCCAGTTTAATATAAATTTCAAATATTTTGAGCAGTGTCTAGAATTCTGTTTTTTTTCCTTATGCAAAGTGAAATAATTTCATACATTTTAAATTTTTAAAAGAATATTTCTCAAGTATGAGTCACATTTACACTAGTGGTAGCCACAGATGTGTCATAATGAAAAACGTAACACATTAAAAGAGTTGTCTAGTTACAACTTATGTCTTTGAGATTTGTGAGGAAACACCTTTGACCAGAGGCTAGGGAAATTTAGCTTAACATAATGCATGTTAACATGACTACAGTAAGGAAACCATAGGACTTTACAATGTATTTTAAACTATTGCCTTGACAGTAATCTTGCATTCTTTTGGACAGAAGCCCAGAAACCAGTAATCTTTAACAGATGTTCTAAAACATCCTTGCCTATAATTTTTCTAAACTATTACAGATTATATAAATTCTATTATAGGCGATATTTATGTTGGTTTTACACACAATAATCAACTATTAATAACATCCCTCTTTCCTCTTTGCTATCCCTTAATTTTTTGCCTCCCATATCACAATAGCAAGTGAACAACAATGAATCCATAGGAAGTATATTCAGAGGCCCCCTAAATTTGATACCTCAATCAACAATAACAGTAATACAGACAAACATTCAAAACTCATATATTTGGGACAAACAGGAGGCTAGAAGGGATAAGTAATGTTAATTGATTTGAGATACATCTCCTAGGTTAAGCAATCATGGCTGAATTAAATCATGGCTGAACTAACAAAAATAATTCAAGGGCAGCACAATGAAAAAAAAAGGACACTTTCAGATATGACAGGTTTCATACAACACTAATGTGAGCATCTCAATAAATAAAAACAGTCCTCAATATTTCTGCTAGAGATAGCCACAAAATGCACTGTTATCAGAATTACACAAAGATTAAAAAATAGCTAGAAACTTAATTTCTGCATGGAGTATAAGAAGGGAGCACACTCTGTACTCCCCATGGGTCCAAGTTCCCAAAGAATATTTAAAAAAGTATTTTAAATGTTTACCTTATCACTTAACTTATGACTAACTATCTATAAAACTATAAATCTTTTTTCAGAGGCAATCTACCAAACCAAACTTTTCAATTATGAAATATTTCTCCTGTGATTATTAATTTATTAGAGAAGCTTCCAAACTGTGTAAACCCTGAATTCAAAATGTCCTTCTGCACCCCCTTTTAAAGTAGAAGTTTATTTTAAGTTAGTCTTCCAAAATTACTTAGATGTGTATGCATTTTTTACCTTACCCATCATACAGCTTTGCTATAATAATTGCATATCCCATAACATACAATAAATTAATCACTGCTTATGTTTCCCCTAAAACCTTCACTTCATGTTCAACATTAGCAACCATCAATGACCTAAATAGGTTTCTATATAAGGCTCCCATTCACCACAAACCTAAGATAATTATAAACTTAAATTCTTCATGTACTCAGTGTTTTAGTAGCAAATTGATCAAACTCTAGATGATAAGTAGCCAACTGTGCCTCCTTTTACCACTCAAATCTATCTATCTATCTATCTATCTATCTATCTATCTATCTATCTATCTATCATCTATCTATCAAAGCCTAAGCAACCTTTATGGTAGAACAACCAGAACGACCGGTCACTGTGATGCGCACTGACCAACAGGGGGCAGACACTCAACACAGGAGCTGCCCCCTGGTGGTCAGTGTGCACCCACAGGGGGAGCGCCACTCAGCCAGAAGCTGGGCCCACGGCTGGCGAGTGCAGCTGCCACAGTGGAAGCCTCTCCTGACTCTGTGGCAGCACTACGGAGGCATGGCAACAGGTGCAGTGGACGGGATGAGTGCAAGCGGTGGGGTGCCTGGCCCCTATTCGGGTTCTTCCCTGGCTGCCTTCTGCTTGGCACACTGCTACATCCCCCGAGGGGTCCTGGACAGCAAGAGGGATGTCCGACTGCTGGCTTAGGCCTGATCCCAGTGCCATTCTCTGTAGAAGGCAGTCAGTCTGAACAACTCAGTGACTCAGGGAAGGGCAGGGAACTCAGGGTGAGCCTGCCTGCTTGCTTGACTCTCCCACTCAATGGTTTTCCCAAGACAGACTGTGGTGACCCAGCCTGTGCACGTGTAGCAGCTGCTGAATCTCAAGCAGCAGGCTGTGCAGCAGCAGAAGGCCATTCAGCCACAAGCCAGCAGGTGAACATCCCCAAGGGGTCCCAGACTGCGAGAGGGTGCAGGCCGGGCTGAGGGACCCCCCTCCAGTGCATGAATTTCATGCACCAGGCCTCTAGCGTTTAAATAAACCTTTGTTCAATTTACACTTTCCTTAACAGTGTAATAATTTTTCCTTATTCTCTAAAGATTTTCAGCATCATCCAGACACCATCTGTCTGTATTAAAGCATAAGTATACTTAAAGTTCAATTGACAGGCAAACTAAATGCAAAGAACAAGCAGAATATAACAGCCCATTGACAGTTTTAAAATCTAATTCATCCAACAATTCAAATGATAATGAAAGACTTAAAGGTCACACTTTCAGATCATGACCTGAAATAACTAACCATCATTTGACTTTACTACCCTATACTCTAAGCTAATATTTACATTATGGTACACTTGAGAAGTCACCCCACTTGTGTTGCACATGCAAAACATATGCAAAAATTGAGTTGCGTAAGTCAACCTTTTTCCCAAAGATGAAAACATTAAATTGAGAGCCATCAATAGTATACAACATTCCAGAAATCTGGCTCATTCAGTCAAATGGCAGAAATATACATACTTTTTAAAATATGGTAATGAAAACAAATTCTTTTTAAAAATTACCAAAATATCTCATCTTTTTCCTGTCAACAACTCCTATAACTTTTATGTAAGTTCATCACATCACTTCCTCCTAACCATGAAGACTAAAAACTTCAGTAATGCTCTAATCCTTCCTCTAACATACCACATTCATTCAATTTCCCAGTCATGTCGACCTCTGTAATATCTTGCCATTCTTACAGTCAGGCACCAATTCCATCATACCTGGTTGGTACTCTGTCTTCCTGGTTGGTTTTCCTATGCTGTTTCATTTGCCTTTCCAAGTCAATTTTTATACTTTCAGTGGCTACTTGCTATCTCCAGAATAAAATGTAAGTTCTTTAGTTTCATGTTAAATTACTTTTCTAGCTTTGATATCTCAATTTATTTCTCTATGTATACTGCACTCTGGCCCCATTGGGCTATTTGCAGCTCTCTACAGTTTTAATTTGCCTTAACATTCATTCTTGTCTGTCCATGTCTCTCTCTGGAATCTACCTCTCTAACCCTATTTTGGGGAATATGGTAAATGTTTGCCACCTTAAAAAAATAAATAGACTTTATTTTTAGAGCAGTTTTAGATTTACCCCCCAAAAAGCAAAAATTACAGAAACTATCTATATACTTCCTCTCCACCAGCAGTTTCCCCTCTTATTAATATCTGTAATAGTGTGCTACATTTGCTACAATTGAGGTCTGAATGTTGATAGATTATTAAATACAGTTCATACTTTGCATTATGGTTCATTCTTTGCATTGCACATTCTACAGCTTTTTACAAATGCATAATATCATGTACCTACCATTACAGTATCACATAAAATAATTCTGATGCTCTAAAATCCTAGGTGCTCCACCTATTTATTCATCCCTCCTTTCTTACCCTTGGCTTTTACTCTTAATGTGCATTTGCCTTTTCTTGAATGTCATAGCGGTGGAATCATACACTATTTAGTCTTTTCAGTCTAGCTTTGTTTCACTCAACAAAATGCAGTAAAGATTAATCCAAGTCTTTTTAAGTCTTCATAGCTAATTTGATTTTTTTTTTACTAACTACTGTTCCATGGTATGAATGTACCACAATTTATTAACTTGTTTGCTTGCTGAAAAACATTTTTGTTGCTTTTAACTTTTAGCAATTGTGAATAAAGTTGCTGTAAACTTTGGTACGTAAATTTTTGTGTGGACATACGTTTTCAACTCATCTGAATAAATAGGGAAGACTATATTTTGCTTTGTGAGAAATGGCCAGGAAGTTTACAATGTAGCTGTACCATTTTTGCATTCCTACCAGCAATAAGTGAGAGTCCTATTGTTCCTAATCTTTACCAGCAATTGATGTTGAAGGAGTTTTGAATATTA